TCCCTTTTAAAAAAAAAAAAAAAAAAAAAATCGCAACATTGTTGAAATGAAGGTGGTAAGATAAAGTGGAGGGAAACAGGGAAGGAGCTGCTGTAGCTGCAAGGGCAGGGATGTGGGAGCAGGCAGTGCCAGATGGAAGAAGCAGGCCAGCCATGCTTGAGCACACAAGAGGGAAAAGGGAGTCAGGTCATAGGTACCTTTTGTGAATGCAACAGGCCCAAAGTAGTTGGTTTCCATCACTTTTTTGTCCACGTCCACCCCCGTGTCCAGGATCGTGCCTCGGTAACTGATGCCCGCATTGTTGATCAGTATGTCCACGTGACCCAGATGCTTCAAGATCTCTTCAGCAGCACTTACAACTGTGTTAGTGTCAGCCAGGTCAAAGACCACAGTGTAAGGTTTGTGCACCTGTGAACAGATGGCAAGTTAGCAAACGGGCTGCTGGCTGTTCTGCCACACACTTCTACTTCTTGGAGGGAAGGCGGAGATCTACTTCTCTATGTTGACAGCGCAGAAAGGAGCACCCAAAGCCTCTCCACATGCATCAGACTAAATGTTTATTCTCTTTGGTGTGGTTAGAAGAACCTAAAGGCACCAACATGCAATACTCCATCTTCCTCCACAGGTCTTCCCAGCATGCAGTGCTTTGTATAGATTTGAACAGGATGGTGTCCACCTCTTGTCACTGCTCCAAAAGTAGAGAAAGGACTGCCACTGGCCCCTTTGTAGGTCTCTCTGGTCCTCCTTCGGCCACCTCCATGCAATGTGTGGTCATTCCTGCATTAAATTCTCATGCCTTTAATGCCCCATAAGGAGCCATCCCATAGAAGCCTGTCAAGAAAAGTCCCTTCTCACCCACACCCTGTAAACAATTCTATTGTCAAACTACTGGGGATTTGAGACACTGAATCAGTAATGCTAAATGCACACATTCTGGGATTCACCCTGAGAAACAGTTACACACAGCAAAGTCTTCTCAGCACAGACTCCAAAGTGAAGGAACTTCTATACAGCATAAACAAACTCTTTTTCTTTAGTAATAAATGACTGGACCTTTATCAAGGTACTCTAATTCACCTAGAAATTCAGGGCCATCTAGCTACATCAGCATTAGAAAGGCTTGCATGGAAGAAGCGGAGACACAGAGCTACTCAACAGGAAAAGAAGACTGGTACCATCTTCTGGCCTAAGAGCACAGCTCCAGATTCCCGTGTTGCTAGTTTAACCTCAGCAACCTGGAAGTACCGACAGAGGGTGAAGACACCAAACTCCCCTCTCCTCATTACACTCTGCTCACTCCTTCAAAAGGCGGGTCTGTGGGCAGAAGGGGAACTAATGATACAGCTTAGGGCATCAACTCCATTTTGCTCCATCTCTGCACTTCATGCAGGATCAGGGTGGAGAATATCGCAAGGCTGCTTTAAACTATCTTCACACCTCCCTTATGCTGCTCTCAGTTGTGCCAGCTGGCAACTGCAGCACAGCGGGGCTGGCATTGTGCCACGCACTTCTCCCTCAGGCTGCTCCCAACACCTTGAGGAGGATCTTGCTTGCTGAATTTGCTGATGCTTTATTACAGGAAGAAACGAGAGATGTGCTCAGCAAATCCTAATCCAGGCAGTTGCAGGGGGATTGGGCCTGCCCTGACTTCACCAGTCACTACATCCTTCTGTTCAACAAGCTTTAGAGGTAAGGATTCCAACCCAAATTCGAGCCAAAAATGTTGCTCTGCCAGACCAACAAGTGGGAGGTGTGGGGCCCTGCACCTTTACAGGACCACAGGAAAGTAGGGATGGAAGGGACCTCATAAGGTCATCTAGTCCAGCCCCCTGCTCAAGACAGGATCATCCCTGATTAAACCATCCCAGCCCAGTGTCTAACTTGCTTCTGAAAATTTCCAAGGATGGAGATCCCACAGCTCCTCCATGTAGTCTGTTCCACTCTTGTAGTCAGAAAGTTCCTCCTAATCTCCAGCCTAAACTTTCCCCAATGCATCTTGAGGCTGCAGCTCCTAGTCCTGTCCCCTACAGCTCCAGACAAAAAGCCCATCTCCATCCTCTTTATAATCACCCTTCAGTTATTTGAAGATTTATCAAATCCTCTTCAGTTTTCTCTTCTCCAGGCTAAAATAACCGTAATTCTTTCAGCCCTTCCTCACGTGCATGTTTCTGTGAGCAGTCCCAGGCCACTCAAGTTAATTTCCAGCAAGACAGGACACATTAGTATAACATGCTCCCAGCAAGACAGCTAAATGCTGGTAACAGCAGAGCTGTGTGCCTCTCATTACTCAGCACCTCACATAGCCCACAGCAACTCTACATTTCCTGCAGCCAGAAGACCTGAATACCAGCAGCCCATTCTTCCCTGCATGCTTACATTCTTTGGGTGGTTGGTCATGGCAGAAAGCTCCCGCACCAGGTCCTGGAGTCTCTCGCTGTTTCTGCCACAGAGCACGAGCTTGGAGCCAGTTATGTGGAAAGCCTTGGCACACTCTTTGGGAGGGAGAGAACAGAAGAGAAAAGCAGATGTTTTAATGCCAAGTGTGGATTTCAGAAGCATTTTATACCTGGAGGTCTGCTGTAAAGATCTCACTGACAAATTCAGGATAGCTATGTCAGTTACAAGAGACCAAGCCATCTCTCAATCAGTGCCATTAAACCCTTTCAAACTAGAGCAAGATACCACTATTAAATATATGGCATAATGAAGATGCATCTTAATTTATCCATTTTCTACACTGCCCAATGGTGTTAGTCCCACCAGAGAAGACTTAGCATAAGAGAGAAGCTATAGCAGGCAGCTGGCATGATTCCTGTTTCAATCATGATTGTCTTGCTCCTCCCATGCATTTGTTATGTGACCGCCAAGTTTGAGAACCTTGGGCAAAGGACACATTTATATTTAATGAGGACCATTTTTCTTCTTGTGTGTACATAGTATGTAGCACCATGGGAAAGGCACTTAAGTGCTACTCCTATGGAAAGAATCACCTGGCAAAGCTTTTCTAGGCTCTTGTTAAAAGTAGAGTATTTCAACATACCAAGAAACAAAACATCCTTCAGTGACATAAAGGGTGTAGGGGAGGTGGGAAGGCCCAAAACAAACAGACACAGGCTTCTTGAGGCATCTGCATTAGCCTGGGCTTTGGGGAAAGGGGCTGGGCAATCATGACTAGCTGCACCAAATCAGTGTGTACTAGTACAGCTGTACTCTTAAGAACACTTTATTCTGCCCTTGCCCTGCCCTAAAGTTTGCAGTTCCTTTCCATCTAGCTACAATTATCCCAGCCCTTAAGTCAAGGTCATAACTTCAAGTTAATGGCTTTCCTTCCCTCTCAGGGCCAGTAATGTAACTCTCGGGAGGCATAAAAATAACAGCCGTAGCAGTTGCTGGCCATTTGCACTACTGCCCCCAGCAGTCACCACTGTCCAGGACACAAGAGCTGCTCTGTTATGCCTCTGTTCAGAACAGTTTATCCCCAGCAGGTTTCATATGCTTCAGCATGGCTTCACATTCTTCTACACCCTCTGAGCATGACCTAATAACTTGAGGCCCATACTGCTGGGGACTACTGCATGATATCACAAGGTGCGGACCAGCATGTAGGTAAGAGTAAGTGTCAGTGCTTGTAAATAGCCTTGAAGGAGAAAAAAGACTCAAAAGAGGGTAACTTCTGCATGGGCTCTTCTTGCAGTGGAGCTGAAGGGGTACAACAGACCTCACATTTAAATAGGAGACGAAGTACTTTGGACTTGGACCCTTTTCTCTTTATAAGCTGAAAAGCAAAATAGCAGGGAAAAGATGCCTAAGGACATATTTCAACTGCAACACGCATGCTCGGCCTGTGAAGGTCTCTCCTCGGACACCAGGTCTGTCAGTCTTCTAAACATGAAACATTACACCCGCCAACTACTTCTTGCTCTTCGGTTCTAACTGCCCAAGGAGGTGGGCATTCAAAATATTCTGACCATGCAGCTAGTGAGGTTGGTGTTTCTCCAGGACAGCTCTTCACACAAGAGTACATGCACAACCTGCCCATACGCCCTGGTGGGGGATCACAAGCCATCAGAAAGGATGCTATACTCTCAAGAAGTCAAGGCTTTTCTGGGAAGGATGAAGGAGCACATCTAAGCAAATGCATAACCTCCCCCACACAAAAAACTACTGAGTTAGTCTTCATAGCGGGTAAAATGCCTCATGTGTCATGTGCGCACAGTTCCTGGCTCTTGCAACTGATGTGTACTACCTGAACAGGGCTGTGTGTCAGGGGGAAGGTGGAGTACTTGTGGCATCAGGCCCTTTAGGTGGGACAGACGCATGCTGCAAAAGAGGGTAGGACAACTGGAAGCACAAGAGAAGATGGGAACAGAGCACCAGCAGGCAGGGCTTTCCAAACGATCTGGTATCCAACCTTTCCAGCAAGATAGGCAAGACTCACCTTTCCCCAGGCCAGACGTAGCCCCTGTGATCACCACCACTGCGTCCTGCAGGTAGGCTCGCATTCGCATGCGCTGCAGCAGCCTGAAGAGGCCAAAGATACCCACACTGCCAATAAGCAATGGGATGATGACAGTGCTGGTGAAATCCATGAGCTTCGCTTTCTGAATGTTCTTCCTAGAGCCGCACAGTTAAAACAAGCAGAGCATTACACAGGCTAGAAATCTAGACGGTCACTGAGCCTCTTTCTTGTTAGGATGTCTAAGCAGATTTGGAAGCACGTCTGTCCCCTCTCCCTGCCATCCCAGCCCTTCCAGTGTGCATCTTTAAGGGAACATCCAGCTCCTGCATGTAGACCCTCCAAGTGGTACAATCACAAATATCCATGCTAAAAATCAAAAGGCAAAGTTGAGTGTCACAACACGACATGGTATTGTCTCAGATATTTTAAGGTACTTGGCTACAAAATAGCCTGAGAGGCCATTTCCAATATCCCCCTTTCTACCTTATTGGATGTTTTCTTGTGCACAACAGTTGGACAAAAGTGTCCTTTGGCCCGGAGAGTTTCTCCGCATGCCTGTGATGCTATACAAACATCTGAGACTTTTCTGTGGGATCTATCACCACCATATGAAAATGGCAGACAGATCTGGAGCTTCACAAGAAACATTCCCTTCAAGCAGGTGATTTGTCAACTACTGGAATTTTTCACATCTCCCACTAAAACAGCAGTGCCTGTCAGAAACAGGTAATCTGATTCCACAAGCCAGGGGTCTGATCATCAAGGAGCCTTCAAGTCTGCCTCTAGTAATTAGTTTATTTTTATACATTTCCTTAGTAGCCTATGTTCGAACAGACCAAACTCCAGCTTGCAAATGAAACCCAAACCATTGGTATCTGCAAAGACCTGGCCTAACTCAGGATAAGATTTGGCTTTGAAACACATGTACCTAATTTACTAGCTAAGCCATTGCCTTGAAGTGAGTAAGTTATGGTACAGGTCACTGCATCCCCACAGCATAAGCAATACCTCTGCTATAGGTAAAGGTTGACAAACTTCCCACCCTAAGCCCTGATTTTTTTTGCTGTTTGGTATCAGAGTGAGATGAGACCATTTTTAAAAAAAATCATCCACTGGAATCCAGAAGTTATTTTCAGTCACACAACAGGTACAGCCAGACTCCAGCATCAATCCCTCTTCCTGCAGTTTCAGCTCTAAAGTGCATTTCTTGCTAAGGCCTGATCATGCATCTTATTTAACAGTTAATATCCACCTTGAATGTAGAACGGCAGGCTCATGAGCTGGGCAGTGATCAGCAAGGGAACTCAGAGCACCAATCTGGAGTAGCTCCATATTGCTGAGAGCCTGACAACTTTTACCCCATCTCTTCAGCCCCAGGCTGCAACTACTTTTACCTGACAGCTGCATGTGACGTCTCCAAAAGCAGTCAGTGCTACCACTCCCCTGAGGTGGGGGGCTATAACAAACTAACACCTGGGGCTGAATACACACGGGATGCTGCCCAAAGGGAGAGACCAGGAGTCATTAAGTCTCCTGCTTGCCAGTGTAGCCCATGAGATGGGCCACACAGTACTGCATCCCCCACCCAGCAGATCTTAGTCAATGGCAAAAGCCTGCCAGAGATTATAAAACAAGTGCAAACAGCATGAATCACTCCTAAAACCATAGTGGAGAAACTGTGTCCTTATGAGAAGCCAGAAGCTACTTGAGACTGGACTAATAGGAGACATGGACATGAACCAGCATGGTTTAAACTTTACAGGTTACTTCAGGTCAGATTTTCAGCTCCTGTTTAAACATACGAACTGTTTTCAACAGGAGCTGCCAGGTGCTGCCCATTTCACCTACGTGCCAATATTGGAGTTGCAGATATTTTGATGAAGTTCCTGAACCTGTTTCCCCACATGTAAAATGGGAATAATACCCTTTTAACCCACCTGTTAATCACTGTGGGCAAGAGCTTCTACCCCCATATCCTTCTACACCTCTACGAGTCACACTGTACAACTGGGCAGGAACAACTCCCCAGTGTTGTCTGCAGCACAGCTGTACAAAGTTCTTGGGCGAAACAAAGTCCAAGTTTACCCTCAATTACCTGACTGTGAGGATCAGCCACCCTGTGTTCTGCCCAGCATCTAAGCTGCTTTAATGTTCATGAAGCACCACCTAGTTTTTGTCTCGTAGACTTTTTCTATACCCTGCTCATTTACAGCCTTCATTGTGTTCCTTTTCATTTCCTCTCTGCACTAAATGTTCCCAAGCTTCCCAGATAGAAGCTTGTCCATGCCTCTGGCCATTTCTGGTTGTCTCCTGATATCCTCCTAGGACATGAAGAAACTCAGAAAATTGAGCTTGTCTCCACCACACTGAGTCGCTGGCAGAACTCTGTATTGGCAACTTCCAGTCTAGAAAGGAGCCCCTGGTTTCGATGAGTGCCTAAACACCTTTGTGAAACTGAGCCTAAGTAACTGCCTCCCACAAAGAGAGGGCGATGAAAGAAAACATGAAGGAGAAACCTGATGAAAGAAGGGGGGAATGAGATCAAAGTACTGGGCTGAAACAGAAGGCCTGGTGGCCAGCCAATGACTGGGAATGAGATTCCATGACCTTGAGGCCAAGAACAAAGCCAGCCCCAGCTGAAGCAAGCTTCAAGGATTAAGAAAACCTGGCAAGCATATCAGGACAACCAAAGAAGAAAGAATTGCCCATATACTTCACACCTGAATTTGCAGGTTTTACTTTGATCCACAAGGATCTCTTTAAAACACAAAAAGTCCCCACACCAAACAAGTTTTAAATGGACGGTATTAAACAAACACTGAAAAGGAAGGCTGAGAGATCATGCTGATAAGGGGGTTGTTTTGGCTTGCACAAGCTTTGCCACCTTAGATACCAAGTGCATCTCATTTGGAGTGCTGGTGTTTAGTGAGAATGGCAGCACTTCGGCAAACATTATTACCTCAAGAGAATAATAATAAAAAAAAATAACCCCCAACGAAACACCGATAACTAGACCAGCAGCTACCCCTGCTCCTGAAGCACATGAGACCATTGGCTGGTGAAAGCTTCTTGCGACTTGCTGTTTTTTTCCACTCCTGATTTTTGAGTCCAATAACAGCAAAGGCAGCACCATCCCAACAATGGATAAGAAGTGAAAACTACAAACCATCTTGGAAACATCCGTGCCCGAGGAACAATGGTCTTGGGTCCCACGGTCAACAGAGACACTACCTTAGTCCACCCTGGGTCTCTTGGTACTGGAGAAAAGTTTCCCCCAGGCACATGTGGCTCCAGGTTAGTGAACTCCATTCGTCGTTCTAGAGTCTATTTTTCTAGGGGAGAGCAAAGGTCCTGCATTCAATCAAGAACATCACCAGGGACCAAGAATGGCAGCAGAATTTAAAAGCAGTTAAAGGACTTGCCCAGCAGCCCCAAGGAATGGAGAGAGACAGTGTGCATGGCCTGATGGCTTGCCATTCAGGAGATCTAGGAGGTAGCAACACTCTCCAGGTCAGCTGGGGCTGGAAGGTTCATGCAAGGAACTTTCTTCATTTCTTGAGAGATTTTCATTGACTAGGTGACAGCTTGAATGGAAAACACTACCCCAGCATCATGGTCAGTATATGGAGTGGCAGGAACTGTGTGGACCCTACTCTGTAGTCTAAAAGAGATCAGCAGAGGTGGCTCTTGCTAGCTACCTGCTAGAAGAACTTCCTGAATGGGAATGAATTCTGTGGTTCCTGAAAAACAAGAATCTCTCTCTGTGTGGGTGTGCAAAGCTCCTATTAAATATCAGCTCTTTCAGCTTTTAACGGAAGCCTCACCTAGCCCTCAGTGGTTGGATGCAATCTCTCACTAGCAACATGCTGCGAAGGAAAGGTCCCAAAAGCAGCAGTGAGGCATGTTGAGGTATCTCCATATCAGCATGGGGGGTTGAGTCAGAGGCCCAATCAAAATCCAAGGTTTGCTTTGCCACTTTAGAAGAAATAGCCATAGAATAGACTTTCCATTAAAGCAGGGGAGTCGGATCAAGGTGTGCTGTTCTGTATTCATACGAACAGTTTCCACTTGAACTACAGTCTTTTTGCTGATACAAGGTAAAAAAAATACAGTCTATGGATTTTTCTGTATTACAAGATTATTTGGTGGAGGGGCCGAAATAAGTCACTGCTGGCTCCACAGGGGGAGGGGGACAGAGACAGGTACAGGCCAGGAATCAACAACAGCTTTATTTAGAGCCACAAAATGTTGGGCTGGGATACTTTAAAGGTTGGGGAAGAAACTCAGAGCATCAAAAACTCACATTTCATCAGTCCTAAGGCAAAATAGCCAGGGACGCCTTGGGCAGAGAAAAGACCATGACCTATATATTGGCCCCTTTGCTTAATTTAAGCTATACTGGATGTCCCCCAGGCTTCCAACCTGAAAGTCTGAGATGCCACAACTGTGGTTCCAAGATGTGGCCATCCAAGATGCTCCTGAAGATCCTTTTCCTGTGACAAAGCTTGTAATGCAGAATCACATGAAGAGGGGAAGACACTTTCATAACTGTCACCAATCACTGCTCATAACTTCAGAACACCCTCTTCCATCCCACAAGACAGTAACATTTCATTTGACTGCACAGAGTCTCAGGGAGGAAAAAGGACTTTGTAGAGGGGACAGTGCAAAAATGTGGCAGAGGATATAAACAAACATAAGTGACTGGAGTTTGAAGTCTAAATTCAGTGTATTGAGCCTTTTCGAGGGCTAAATAGCATAGAGCAAGTCACATCCACACATGCCAATTAAAAATGTTCCCTTCAAAAGAGATGAGCCCTTAAGTCAGGAATGACTTCAGATGGCACGAGAGGGCTAATTATCAAGCCCAGAGAGGACCTGATAACAAAGCAGCAGAAACAAGTTCAGGTACCGAGGAGCTGAGAGAAAATGCCAATGAAAGACAAAGAGGGAGAAAAAAAGAGCCTTCCCCTCACAAACACCTATTCTTTAACCACAGCACCTAGAATCAGATTGCTCTGCAAGTGACAAATGGAAGCAACTGGGAGGCTATTTTCAGAAAGTAGGTGTCACTTAAAAAGGGAAAAAAGAGAGAGAGAGAGAAGAGAAGCCCCGTTTCCCATGGAAGCGTTGTATGAAGAAGCAGCACCAGCCTGTACCTTGTTGGCAGCTGCCTTGGGTCTGAAGAAAGCACAAGATCCTACCTTTTCGAAAGAGCTCCCTTGCCAGCAGTGGCTCCTTGTGCTGGTGTCTCCCTCTAGTCTTCTGACACTGAGCAGACTGATTTAAATCAGGTAATGGCAGGGATCCAAGCAGGCGCTCTCAGTTCAGCATGAGCATAAGGTGCCAGGAACAGCCTCTAAAAACAAACCTCAAACACTCTGTGACCTTTGAAATGGGGGGGAGCAGGGGGGAGGGTCATACTAACCTTTCTGATTATATGCGCACAGGGAAGATACAGAAAAAAAGTACATTTTATGAAGAGAGATCAGCCAAATTTTCACACTGGTAACTTACAGTGCTGGCAAACTCAGTTGCTAGGAAGGACTTTATATAGTTTACATGAGTGATGAAAGAAATGAACCAGCTGAGTGTTTTGCATGTATGCTCATGTTCAGATCTGTAATGGAGGAGGCAACCTGCACCTGGTGTACACTACATTTAAGAGAGCGAGTTATCTCCTCCCTTAAGACAGAGAGAGAGAGTATGTGTGTGTGGGAGCACGCAGCTTTCAGATCAGATAATCACTTTCCCCCCTGAACCAAACATTTCTGAAAAAAGTTTGAATCAAGCCCAAAACTAACCAAGATTTTAGAAACTGTATGGAAGGATCCAGCATCACCAATTAGACTATTGCAATGACCTAATAAAACACAAATAGCAATTTTTAGATGGTGATAACTAAATTCCTGTACAAGTCCTCTGAAAATGACAGATTGAGTCTCTAAGACCAGATCAAAATCTGATAGGAAAAAGACACACTGATGTAATAAACAAAGTGACTGGATTCATCTAAACTATGAAGTTGCTGAAATACAATAACTTGCACTTACATGCCAGCATTCATTCCAAAGGATTGTATGAACTGAAGTGATACCAAAACTATCCTAATAGGATCAGGCATCACTGAGATCTCTGGGGTGGAATTCAACAGTGAGTCCACAGAGGGCAGTACCTCAATACAATGGAAAAGAAAGCCCTCTACCCAGCTGAATAGGCATAAGTTGTATTGTATGCCTCCAATAACAGCAAACAAGTATTTTCTTACTTTTAAGCTGTCTGTTGAGCTTCAAAAGCCTCAAGTGAATACATCTTGAATATGCTGCCCACCTTCCAGGCACGACCAAAGCCTTGAGTTTTGGTAGGAACTTTTGCTGCATTGTGCTTATTGCTTCATATAAGCTCAACATAACAAATCTCCAGATCAGAGAGAAAGGGAAGGAAAATGGAAAAGAAAAAAAAAGTACCCAGTGTTTTCAGCACCTGACATGGTACCAGATTGGGAGTATGGATCAGATTGTTCTTAATATTTCATCTGCCCTCACTTAAGCCTGAGCTTGATTTCTAACCTCCCTCCTCTTGGTTTCCAACCTCCCTCCTCAGCTCCCTGCTGAGGTACCTGGGGTACTCCACCAGGTAAACCAGAACAACAGAAAAATCAAAGCATTCAATATTCAAGAAAAGTGTTTTGCTGAAAGAATTCAAACAAAACCTGTAACATTACAGGGAAATCAAGGCAATTCCCATCTTCCCCCCCTTCCCTGCTCTCATAAGGTTGGTATCTAATGAACAGAACAATAGTGTAAGGAATTGGCTTGAAAGCCCAGGAAATTAAACTTCTCTCTAGTCATAGAGCAAGTTATTGGATGGAAACAAGCAGACCAATTTCCATCCATCCTTACACATTATCTTGCCATCCTTCCTTACTTCAAAGGACCATGTGATGGGTACAGCCCCTTCAGCTCATTCTGTACTTGGTCCCTTGACTAAGATGACCAAGAAAAATAAATCATAGTTGTCCAATGCAACCAGCTATCCCCAGCCTAAGCAAAGGCCAGGCCCACATTCAAAGGGGCTTGCAATATAGCTAGAGTAGCAAGCCTGGCTACTGAAAGCACAGCTTAAACCAGTAAAGCAAGTGTTTTGGCCCAAATAGCTTCTGTTGGCTCCTGGAGCAGAAATACACTATGCCAGGTAGAAGCACTCCTAATGCATCTGTACTAGGACTTCTTCTGGCACAGAAATGTCTACACACACCACATCCATAACTAACATTATTATATTGGCTAACATTAATAACAAAGATCTGGCCTTGATGCAACTTCATTTCACCTAGGCTAGTGAACAGCAATCAGAGAGCACTGACTTTTGGTCACTACCACAGACTTGGAAAGAATGTTCCTGGTAACCTGGAGGTTAACAGTGCCCTTATCCCAGTACCTCTCCCATCCATAACCTCAGAACTTTGTTTCTACTACATAAACTTGTTCCAAATTTTGCTTGCCAGAACCTGTACACCCATCCCTGACCTGGAGCAAAAAAGACCATGCAAGCAGACCTCACCTACACAGTCTCCACCCAAAAGCAAGCGTGTGGGAAGGCATACGAGAACTGACAGCACTAGATTACCAGGAATAACTTGCTCAGAAAGGTAAGAAGTTTCCAGCAGGGAAACCAGGACATACAATTCAAACTCTCCACCAACTTAACTTCACTGACTGCCTACACAGTCAAGCTACTGTTTGCCTTGCAGCAGCACCACGCAGAGGCAGGGAGAAAGAGGCAGCAGCTGTTTGCAAGCAGCTTATGTAGCATGCAGTAGACGTGTTGCCAGCAACGCTGTAATTCAGGTTGCCTCCAGATTTATGATACAGCGTAACTAAACTCCAAATTTAAAACAACACTTTGCAAAACAACTGCATGTGCTGATATTGGTTTGGTAGGATATTTGCACGTTAGCAGTAGAGAAAGACGTTTCTTTCTGAAGACGTGTCCTGACTCAAAGTTCTTCAAAATTGGGAGTGGGTCTTCCTTAATAACTTTACAGCACCTCACACAATAGGATCCAGGCTTGACTAGGGCCTTTACATGTAGAGCAGGGGCTCCCAATCTGTGGTACACATAACACCAGTGATACACAGACAATCTGTCAGTGGTGCACACTAACAGATTTATTATAATTACTTTCTGTGACACAAATTTACTGCTGGTACTTAAGGTTGAACTGAAACATTTGTTGGTGGTACTTAAGGTTGTATCATTTTAAATTGGTGTTGCGCAATTTGTCAGAGTTTGGGAACCACTGATGTAGAGAAGCACCTTGCTGGGGTGATCTGACCCCAGCACTCTTTCCTTCCCAGGGCAGGGGGTTGGAGTCGATGATCTACTGAGGTCCCTTATGACCCTAGAAGTCTATGAAATCTAGGAATACTACGTTATTCACAATAGTCTATTTTTAGTAGCCTGTTTTCCCCTTTTTGTAGTTAAAGAACCAATCCCCACTGAGATACTGCAGTCACAATTCACAAATATGCTCTTCAAATGTCACACCTAAAGACACAACTAGTCAGTCCCTTTAATTTTCCCAACACATTCTAATAAGATAAGCCAACAGATCTAGCCAGATCCACATCCATTCCCCAGCGGCATGGGCAACTGGTGCCCCCCCCAGCAACCAGGGGGAGGGGGTCCCCCCGTGGCCAATTGGGAAGCGGCCGCAGCACTACATCTGGCACTCCCACTCCCCAGCCGGCACTCGCACTGGGGGGGGGGGGCCAGCATTGGCACTCCCACCTGCCCATCGCCCAAGCAGGGAGCGTGGCCTGTCAGAGGGTGCACCAGTGCTCTCAGGGGGTGCATGTGCACCCCCTATGCGTCACCACTGCCCAGCAGTGCCCCCATGCCATGCCAGTCTCCCTGCCCACCCCTGCAGGGCGGCAGCATTTACTAAGCCCCAAGTCCTGCCTCCAGACTGTTGTTGTTTGTCATCTGCAGTTGGCCACTCTGGATAGCGCAGGACATCCATCTAAGTAATGGTAGCACTAAGAATACTTTTCTGCCACTTTCCCCACTTCCCTGCTCTCTGATATCAAATGATAACAAGAATATCATTTTTTTGCCTCTTCCCCCCACCATGATCGCTGACATCGGCCTGCATCAGGCTCGCTACAGGGCAGCGGTTCCCCATGACAACCCGCAGGACACCGGAGAAGCTGTCGGGGGACCAGACCAGCCAGCTCCATTCCCATCTCCGGATACTCCCCATCCCCTTCTCCCTGCAGCCTTGCCCCTAACTGTAGGCAAGCAGGCAGCCAAGAGAAAAAAGGGACATCCCTCCTGCACTGCGGTTCTTTAGGCCCAAAGCCCCTCGCTGGGAGCAGCCCCCCATGTGGGACACCATTCCTGTGCCGGCCTCTGTGCGGGCGGGGGCGGGGGGGGGTGTCTGGACGGGGAAGGCCGCCCCCCACCGCCAGGCACCCTCCAGAGGCGCTCGCCACCCAGAACGAGGGCGAGGGCAGGGGCAACCCCCTCCCCGGCTACAGGCCCCGCTCGCAGGGCAGAGGAGGCCCCCGAGGCCCGGTGCGCGCGGGGGAGCCGGGCCCAGCCTGTACCTGCCCGCTGCTGTCACCATGGCCACACACGGAAGCAGGCTGACCAATGAGCACGCTCCGCTCGTGACCTCCCACCCCCCTGGAGGAGGGCCCTACGAGAGCCCGGCCAATCACAGCACGCGTAGGAGCGGATGTTGCCGGAGGGGAAAAGCAGTCGCTCTTCC